AATATTTGCCACATTCATAAGATTGCCCATCATAAGATAATCCTGTTTTCCAAATTTCAGTTGGGCAGTTTATCTGACTTTTTTTTTTAAGGGGATCTTTTTTATTCATTTTAGGGAGGGAGGGAGGTAGGGAAGGAGAGGGAGGGCGGGAGAGGGAGAGCACCCACCGGTTGCCTCCGTGCGCACCCCGCCCGGATGGAACCCCAAACCCAGGTGTGTGTCCTGAGCCCGCGACCTTCCGGTGCTGGGACCACTGTCCCACTGACGGGGCCACTGGCCGGGCGGTTGGTCTAATTTCTGCCTGGGCGTCGCCCCTTCGATCCTGCTCCGGGCTGAGTGCCAATTTCACAGATGGCTTACTCCTCCGGTTTGTCAGGATCACCCCGGGCAAAGCGTTGCGAAATGTAGCGACTGCAGCGAATAACTGGTAAAAAAGTAAGAGAAGAGCGCCAGCTCCGCTGACCGCATCCCTGGCCTCCCTCCCTTCCCTGCGGCCGCTTCCTCAGATATGACTAGGACGCGCGTGACTCAGTACATCAGCTGTTTGTAATCCTTCCTGCCCCCCAAACAGGGCAACAAACTCCTCCTAACCCCCTTCCCTTCTTTCTCTCTTCCCCTTCCACTTCCTCGCCTTCTTTCATTCTCGCTGTTCCCTGCCCCCTGCGCCGCTACGACGCCTGCGCGGAGTGGGAGATCCGAGAAGGCGCGCGCGACGCAGCCCGACGGTCTTTGCTTTGCGGCAAAGCCGTAAAGCGCCGTCACGGCCCGGCGGTCCCCGCTCTGGCCTGCAGTTTCCCGGGCTGCGGGGGCTGGGAGCTTCGGCTTCCGCGGCCGGTCTGGCTAGTCGCACCCCCTGGGGGAAGCGCTGGACTGTTATTTTGGGAGGGCTCCTGGTCCCCTAGGGTTTATGAGATTAGAGTCTAATCATTAGACCCAGCGACTCCCTCCGGGAACGGGAGGGCGGCCGGGTCCTAGTGCCCGCTGGCTCCCCGGGGCCGGGGCTGTGGGGTAGGCGGAGGCTGCGGCCCACGCTGAGAGGGACCGCGCCGCGTGAAGCCGTGCGCGGGGCGCTGATGGCCGGACGCATCTTGGGGAGGACTTTAGCCACCGTGTCTCTCTCTGTGGCCTTGGCCTCTGTGACTGTCAAGTCCTCGGGCCCTTGCGGCATCCCGGAGTGCAGGTATCCCACCCCCACTCCTCGTGCTGGCTCCTCCCCAGGCCTTAGGTGCCGGTGGGAACCAGCTTCCGGGCCGGTGGCTTCTATGGGCTTTGCTTGCGGCTTGGGTTTTTCTAGTCGCATAGAGACACGCGTTCAGAAAGGCTCAGAATGTGCTTGTCTGCCAGCGGTTCTCAACCTGTGGGTCGCGACCCCTTTGGCCGTGGAACGACCCTTTCACAGGGGTCGCCTAAGACCATCCTGCATATCAGATATTTACATTACGATTCATAAGAGTAGCAACATTACAGTTATGAAGTAGCAACGAAAATAATTTTATGGTTGGGTCACAACATGAGGAACTGTATTTAAAGGGCCAGAAGGTTGAGAACCACTGTAAGCCCTTTGAGGTAAAGCTGGTGCCGTCCTTCATAAGTCACCATCGTTATTGTCCGCAGAGCGTTTAAATAGCACTTGTTCGGGTGTGGTGCTGTCCTGTGCTATTTTCTTCTGGTTAATACTTAAAAACATCATTATTCAAATGAATACATGCACACGGTTTAAATGCGTGGCCTGTATAATTGGTGTAAAATGAAAAGCGGAAGTTGTCATTCTTCCTCTGAACCTCACTGTAGACAATGTTTGTATGTATGATCTACCTCTTTCTTGATTTGTCAACTCTGGATAAATGTAGAGATTTCTTGTGTCTCACACTGCCTCCTGCTTTTATTTTCCTCTTTCCAGGTTTTTATTCTTCGAGTCCATTGTTTAGGAAACACACAGTGGCTACTGAATTATTCATTCAAACTTAAGACCTGTGCATTCTGTTAGTCATCTCTATGGAATTGTAAATGTTGACAAGAACCTTTTCTTAATCTTAACTACTCTCTTTAGTGGACACCTTTTCTTATTTTATGAACATAAAAAAGTTTTGAAACTATAAAAATGATAAAAAATTACCTTCTTTCTCCTGAATTATCTGTTTGTTTTGGGTACGTGGTTCTGTTACCATTTGGTTCTTTTTCCTTGTTTTTTTTTCCTCAAACATCTGGTAGACACTGGTTATCTACTTATATTTTGACACCGGTTATTCATCTATATTTTAATGAATATTTCAAATATACATTAAAATGTAGATAATAAGCATTGTTTTCACTAAATGGGAGGACTGATTGAATATTGCCCCATGTACTAGGGTGCCTAGACTGGAAGGTTTCAGTGTGTGGGATCAGGTAGCAGGTGGACAGGCTGGGAAACTCCCTCCTGCCCATTTCCCCTAGGGTTTACGCTAGTGGAGCAACTTCTTTGCTGAGCATAGCTGCTTTAACTTTACTTCCTCAGTGTGTTGTAGAAATAGTAAGCCCCAGTTTCTGTTGTGCTAACACCAATTTATAATAATAAAAGCATAATATGCTAATTAGACCGGACAGTTGGATGTCATGGAAGCCATGGCGGTGGGGGCCAGAGGCGGTTAGGGGTGATCAGACAGGCAGACGAGTGGTTAGGGGCAATCAGACAGGCAGGCAGAGTGATTAGGGGTGATCTAGCAGGCAGGCAGGCAAGCGGTTAGGAGCCAGCGGTTCCAGATTGTGAGAGGGATGTCCAACTACCTGGCAGTTGAACATCCCCCAAGGGGTCCTGAATTGTGAGAGGGTGCAGGCCGGGCTGGGGGACCCCCATGCATGAATGTCGTGAACCAAGCCTCTAGTATTCACAATAAAAGACCTAGTTCTTAATTTCCTTTAACTTTTGGTGTTATCCTAATCTAACTGTTGCTGACTGTAAGGGAGGGAAGAGGACTGATTTTCATGGTTACTGTCCCACTGTCCACTTATTTCAGTCTTGAAACCTCTCAGGGTCCTCTTGTAGAAATGGCATCTTTTCCTCACCCTTTTGTGAATATTCTCAAATATAATTTGCTTTACTTTGGTTTGTAGGTCAGTATCATTCCACCTACTTGAAATCTTTCTGAAATTGGTTGAAATCTTATTCACTGGTGGTGTCCTAGTCTCTCTTCTTGCTGTGGATGTTGTTGCCTTTTATACATCTGTCTATCTCTTCAGTGGGATTTGGGGAGGGAAGGAATAAACATCTGTGTTCTCTGGAAGTCACTAATGCCGTTTTTGATAGATGCCACTAGAATAATGTGAAATTGCTTGGCAGTTATTCTTCATTTTTATAATGCTGGGAATCCTAGGTGAAGCAGAGTATATCTAAAACCTGTGACTGCTTACTGGCTTGGAAGAAAAAGCCAAAAGTTAAGCCAACAAGTATGTGTTGAGTATCAGGTATCTTATATTGTAAGGCATCCTGGAAGAGACATAAGAAATTTAGCATTTAGAATTTTACTGCCCTTTATTAATTTGGGTAAATCCAGAAAGTCATAGTTTTGTAGTTGGTTTTTTAAAAAATATATTTTTTATTGATTTCAAACAGGAAGTAAGGGGAGAGAGAGAAACATCAATGATGAGAGAGAAACATCGATTGGCTGCCTCCTGCACGCCCTCTAGTGGGGTTTGAGTCTGCAACCCCAGGTATGTGCCCTGAATGGGAATTGAACCATGACCTCCTGGTTCATAGGTTTACGCTCAACCACTGAACCACCCTGGCTGGGCTGTAGTTGGTTTTTGTGGTTTGACTAGACGCAGGGGTTCTCAACCTTCCTAATGCTGCGACCCTTTAATACAGTTCCTTATGTTGTGGTGACCCCCAATTTCATTGTTACAAATTGAACATAATTAAAGCGTAGTGATTAATCACAAAAACAATATGTAATTATATATGTGTTTTCCTATGGTCTTAGGCGACTCCTGTGAAAGGGTCGTTCGACCCCCAAAGGGGTCGCAACCCACAGATTGAGAACCGCTGAACTAGAGAGTTGCAAATGCCTATTTTCTAGAAAAAATAAAGATAGTATATAAAGATGTGAGTGCTTTCAAATTTTCCATCAGGATTTATCAGCAATATATGGAGAATGGTATATATTTTATTCCTGTGACGACATATAAATATATATGTGAGCTAAAAATGAAGTTGAGCCCTAACCGGTTTGGTCCAGTGGATAGAGCTCTAAACAATAAAGTCCGTTAAAAAGGTGGGGGAGGGGGGCAGATAGTAACCTTGGCTGCTTGCTTCAATTCAGAGACAGATACATGGAAAATAAACTATTGATCTTATTAAAAGAAAAGTTGAGAAGGCTGAGAAAGGATAGTGTTTCAAGAAAGAATGATTTGAGTATCATAGGATTAAAGGAGGTGTGGGGGCCCTATTGAGAGTACGCCAGATGTTCAAGGCCACTCTGAGCATGGGAATCGTAATCAGGGTGTCCAAGGACTATACAAGGATGCAGAAATCTATGCACTGCGTAAGCGTGCCTTCTATAACCCAGATGATTGATGTCGCTATATGGAAAGAAGCCTTTTTTGTCTAAGTAGTATAAAGTTGAAACTGACCAGCCAGTACGAGGCTGCATTATCTGCTGGGTACAGAGGCAGCTCATGGCTGCTCAGATAATGGCTGTAGGAACAGAGGCTGCTGCTACTATGTTGGAAAGATGTATTGGTACCTAGCCGGTGTTCGGCTACCTACTGTATAGGACTTAAAGAACTGTTTTGTCTGGTGGCTCCTTGTTAGCAATGGCTACTTGGGCTACATGGCCACTGGCTTCTGCAATAAAGATTCTCTTATACACCCACAACTTCTCATGGCTTCTTCATTTACCACCCAGGGTTCAAGAATGTCCAACCCCTGGCAGAGGGCCTCAGACCCGACAATTAGTGTAGTAGGGCAGGATCAGGACCTGTGCTTCCAATAGTGGTGCAGCAAGTAGAGAATAAAGGAGGAACCTGCTCTGACAGGAGGTCTTGGGAAAATTTTGATGAAGGCTTCTAATATTTTGGCCAAAATTATCCCCTATGATTTGTGAAGGTAAAAAGAAAAGTGAAGATTGTATTATGAAGTTATACGAATTTGTTGAAAACAAAATATGTAATTCTGTTCTAAAAGTGTGTGTGTGTGTGTGTGTGTGTGTGTGTGTGTATGCACACATATATGTATATGGTTATAACCTAGCTTATTTAACTAATTTAAAATTTTATTTTAAAGATGAAGCTCTAATCAAGCTCCTTTTCACTAATTAAAACAAAATTTTGGTCTCTACACAGCATATAATGTTGAGCTACAACAGACATGCTCCCTATTGTCCATTTGCTTAAAATCAGGTGGCACCCTAATAAATGTAAAATCCCAATTGTGGTAATTCCATGAAAAGAATAATGGAGCTCTGATAGCACACAGCAGGGGAAACCTACTTCTCCTAGGGAGTTAGGGAGATAGACTACCCTGAGGAAGTGAACCTTGATCTGAAGGATGGGTTCAAATTAGCTAGGTGGAGGAGGAAGGAAAGCTATAGTAGGCAGAAATAACAGCGTGTGGCTTTCCATATTGGGAGGGAACATGGGAGCTTTTATGTACTGGGGTCAGCATAGCAAAATCACGAAGAGTTGAAGAGGAGTGTGGTAGGGAGTCCTTGAAATTCAGGTTAAGAATTTTAATATTTCTTCATGTAAATACAATGACATACATTGACCAAATACATAAATATGATCTTTCGTTTCTCCTTTTCTTTGGTGTGTTTGAGTAGTCTGTCTCTCTCTCTCTCTCTCTCGCTTTTCCCCTTTCTTTATCTTCTGTTTCCTTTCATATCTCTTTTTTCAACCTTTTCCCCTTTTCTCTCCCCTTCTCCCCTTTTCTACCACCCACTTCTTTCCCCTCACCTTTTGTTCCCCCTCAACTTCCCCTTTCCGTCTCCCTTTCTCCTCTCCTTTTTTCCTTCCTCTTCTTTTCCTAGTCCCTCCCCTTTTCCTCACCTCTTCCCTTTTCCTTTGTCTCATATCTGCACTATATTCTCTAATCCACATTTAGAACCTGATGATATAGATCCTTTTACATTTTTCTCATTCTCATATAATAAATAGTATAGACATTTGTAGTAGACAGAATAATGGCTCCCCAAAGATGTCCACAGTCCCTGAAACCTGGGCATATGTTGCCTTACATGGCAAAAGAGACTTTATAGATGTGAGTACGAGTTTCAGAAGGGACGAGTATCCTGGGCTTTCTAGGTGAGCCCAGTTTAATCATGAGTCTTTAAAAATAGAGAAGTGTTCCCAGCTGTGGTCAGAGAGGGCTGTCACTACTGAAACAGGGTCAGAGAAAGATTCAGTTGGTGCTGGCTTTGAGGACTAAGAAAGGGGAACATGAGCCACAGAATGGGGTGGCTTCTAGAACAGTGATGGGGAACCTATGACATGCATGTCAGAGGTGACATGCGAACTCATTTTTTTGGTTGATTTTTCTTTGTTAAATGGCATTTAAATATATAAAATAAATATCAAAAATATAAGTCTTTGTTTTACTATGGTTGCAAATATCAAAAAATTTCTATATGTGACATGGCACCAGAGTTAAGTTAGGGTTTTTCAAAATGCTGACACGCCGAGCTCAAAAGGTTTGCCATCACTGCTCTTGAATCTGGGAAAGGCACAGAAATGGCCTCTAGAATCTCTGTAAAGAGATGCAGCCCAGTCAATATGCTATGTTGATTTTAACCCAGTGAGACTTGTGTCTGATTTCTAAATAACTATAAAATAATAAACTTGTATTTTATTGAGGTATAATCAACAGATAACATTATATCATTTTTAGGTGTGCAATATGATATAATATTTGTATATATTGCAAAATGATCACCACAATAAGTCTAACACCTGTTCCTATACATAGTTACAGAAATTTTTTCTTGTGATAGGAACATTTAAGATATATTCTCTTAGCCACTTTCTAATATGCAATACCATATTATTCACTATTGTCACCAAACTGTATATTACATCCCCATGACTTATTTGTTTTATAGCTGAAAGTTTGTACCTTATGACTCCTTTCACTCATTTTGTCTCCGCTCCCCATCACCAACCCTGCCTCTGTTCTTTGTTTGAATTTGGTTTTTGTTTTGTGTTTTAGATTCCACACATAAGTGAGACCATATGATATTTGTCTTTCTTATTTTACTTAGCAAAATGCCCTCAAGACCCATCCATATTATCACACATGGCAAGATTTCATTTTTTTGATGGCTGAGTAATATTCCATTGTGTGTTGAATATTTTCTTTATCCATTTATCTGTTAATGGACAAGCACTTAGGTTACCATATCTTGGCTATTGCAATAATGCTGCAATGAACATGGGGTTGCATACATATATCTTTCAAATTAGTGTAAATACCTAGAAGTGAAATTGCTGGATCATATGGTAGTTCAGTTTTTTAAAATTTAACATTGTTGAAAGTATGGTAGTTCTATTTTTAATTTCTTGAGGAACCTTCATATTGTTTTCCCTCCTGGCTGCACCAGTTTATATTCCCACTAACAATGCACAAGCGTTTCCTTTTTTTCCATATCCTTGACAACATACTCGTTATTTCTTGTCTTTTGATATTAGCCATTCTGACATGAGTGAGGTGGTATCTCATTGTGATTTTGATTTGCATTTCCCTGATTAGTGATGTTGAGTACCTTACATGTATCTTGTCTGTCTGTCTTCTTTGGAAAAATATGAAATTTTTCCTGTGTTTTCTTCTGAGAGTTGTATTTTTTGATCTTATGTTTGGTTCTTTGACCCGTTTTGAATTAATGTTTGTATATGCTGCCAAGTAAGGGTCCATCTTCAACCATTTGTAGATATCTAATTTCCCAGCACCACTTGTTGAAAAGACTGTCTTTCCCCACTGAATGTTTTTGGCATCCTTGTTGAAAAATCATATGACCATATATGTGAGGGTTTATTTATGGGCTTTTGGTTCTATTTCATTGGTCTTTATGTCTCTCTTTATGCCAGTACTACACTATAGCTTTGTAGTAAGTTTTAAATCAAGAAGTATGAGACCTCCAACTTTGTTTTTCTTTTTTCAATATTGTTTTGGTTATTTGGGGACCCTTGTTCCTAATCTTAGAGGAAAAGCTTTCAGTCTTTCATCAATAAACCAAAAACTGTGGGCATTTCATATATGGCCTTTATTATATTGAGATAATTTCCTTTTATTCCTAATTTGTTGAATATTTATCATGTAAGGACATTGAATTTTGTCAAAGGCTTTTTCTGCATCAATTGAGATGGTCATTTATTGTTGTTTTTTTTCCATTCTGTTTAAGTGGTGTATTACATTGATTGATTTTTGTATGTTAAAACATCTTCCACTCCAGAAATAAATCCCATTTCCTCATGGTGTATAATCCTTTTAATGTGCTGTTGAATTTTGTTTGCTACTATTTTGTTGAGGATTTTTGCATTGATATTCATCAGGGATATTGGCCTATAGTTTTCTGGCAGTGTCTTTGTCTAGTTTTGATATCAAGGTAATAATTCTGGCCACATAGAATTTGGAAGTATTTTCTCCTCTTCAATATTCAGAAGAGTTTAAGGAGCATTGGTGTTAATTCTTCTTTAAATGTTTAATAGCATTCACCAGTGAAACTATGTGGTCCTAAGCTTTTGTTTGTTGGAAGTAAATAAATAAGGTTTTTGTATCACCTTTTAAAATTATTTATACAGCCCCATTCAAATTTCACCACTTGTCCTGCAATTTTATTTTCCTTTATGGTTTAGGAACCAACCCAGGATCAGTGACTGCACTTAGTTTTCACTTTTATGTCTCTTTAGTCTCCATCTATAAGAGTTCCTCTGACTTTATCTTTCATGACTTTATTAATTTAAAGAGTAAAGATTTTTATTCTATAAGATGTCCTTTAGGTTTGTTCTATAGTTCCTCATGTCTAGACTGGTCAAATATTCTTATAAGGAATACCTCGAAATGATCACTGTGCACTTCTCAATCTATGATATCGAGGCACATGATGTCGACTTATTTCACTACCCCATCATGTCAGTGTTTGCTCATCAACTATTTGTTCCAGGAAGGACAGATTGGTATTATGAGAGCAGGGGAATGGAGTGTGATCACTTTACCATGTTCTCAGAATTCCTTTTTCCACTTTAGATGTCCTAATTTAGGGTCATTAGGAATCTTAATCTTTATTTTAAGAATAATGAGAAGGAGGAGGCATGAAACATTTTTGTATATGCTGTAAAATAAAGGTTACAGTTGAGTTTTTTTGTCTATATTATCTAATTATTTCAGATTTATACCTCTTAATTTTACTTTAAATTATAGTCTAAAGTTTATAGTTTGTATAATTATCACAGTCTGACTTTAAGAATTGTTATATTACTTCATGTACAATGTAGGAACCTTATTACAGTATATTTATATTTTCCAGTTATTCCTCCTTTGTGCTATTTTTGCCATACATTTTATACATGTGTGTTAGATTGTAGACTGCTCTTAAAAAACTTATTTCTTCATGTATACTTAAACAATCTTCTTTTACATTTGTTTTTATGGTTGAATTTTCGTAATAAACTTCTATTCCCCAATGTTTGTGCTGATAAAAGTAAACTTCTGTCTTTTTTTCTCAACTAAAATAAGCGCAGTATAGCCGGGCTGGCGTAGCTCAGTGGTTGAGTGTTGACTTATGAGCCAGGAGGTCATGGTTTGATTCCTGGTCAGGACACATGCCCTGGTTGCAGGCTCCACTCCCAGTATGGGGTGTGCAGGAGGCAGCCAATCAGTGATTCTCTCTCATCATTGATGTTTCTATCTCTCTATCCCTCCCCCTTCCCTCTCTGAAATAAAAATAAATAAATAAATAAATAAAAATAAGTGCAGTATAGGTTCCAATTAATAGAGTTTAGGAATATTTTCCAAATTTTCATATTTGAAAATAATATTTCATATATGTTGGACCTTTATACTAATATTCATCAAATTTGAATTTTCTGAGTTTTAAGTCTTTGAAATTGAAAAGTATGTTTTGGGTTCTTTGAATTAGGAGATATATATATATCTCCTATCTAATAATAGACAAACATGATAATTGACCGTACCTTTGCTATGCCTCCCATGGGTTAATCAGCATGATATGCAAATTAACCACCAACAAAGACGGCAGCTAATTTGCATACTGCAGGCAGGGCGGGACAGTGCCATCCCACCTGCCCTACTGCCATCCGGGCCTGCTATCTGTGACCCGGGGTGGCGGGCATCTGTGTGCGACCCGACCCGGGGCGGCTGGGTGGTGCAGCAGCGATCAGCCAGCCCACCCGGCTGCCGTCCGGGCGTCCCGTGTGCGACCTGACCCGGGGTGGCCGGGAGGGGCAGCAGCGATTGGCCGGCCCGCCTGGGCGTCCCGTGTGCAACCCGACATGGGGCGGTGCCCCAACCCCTGTATCTGCCCTGCCGTGTGCGCGACCCGGGGTGGTGCCCCAACCCCCGGATCAGCCCTGCTGTGTGCGTGACCCGGGGAGGTGGGACAGGCACCGAGGGATCGGGCCTGCCCTCTGCCACCCGGGAGCGGGCCTAAGCAGGCCGGTGGTTATCTCCGGAGGGGTTCCAGACTGTGAGAGGGCACAAGTGGGGCTGAGGCACAACCCCCCACCCCCCTGCCAGTGCACAGATTTTTGTGCACCGGGCCTCTAGTGTGTGTATATATATATATACACACACACACACACACTAGAGGCCCGATGCACGAAATTCGTGCAAGGGGCTCAGCCCTCGCAGCCGAGACTTGCCTTGGCCCTCGCAGCTCCGGCTTGCTTTGGCCCTCAAAGCTCGGCTTTGTCTGAAAGGTCATTTGGCCATGTGGTCTAATTAGCAATTATGCTTTTATTATTATAGATACATATATATTTATTTATTTAAAATTTTTTTCTTTTTTCCCTCTCCCAGAAGCTCATTTTCATCGTGTGGGTTTCATCTTAACTCCAATATCATGTCTGGTTCTAATGGTGCTAAAGAGAATTCCCACAAGAAGGCTCGGACATCTCCTTACCCAGGTTCAAAAGTTCAACGCAGCCAGGTTCCTAATGAGAAAGTAGGCTGGCTTGTTGAGTGGCAAGACTATAATCCTGTGGAATACACTGCAGTCTCTGTCTTGGCTGGACCTAGGTGGGCAGATCCTCAGATAAGGTGAGCAAATTAGCTGGCATTGCTGGTTGTAAGACTGTTAGAGAAAGTAATGGTTGTATATGTAAATTATCATTTTGACAGCTGAACTATTTTTATCTAGTGCCTGATTTTATTATAACTTAGTTTCCACATTTGCTTGAATTCTTGCCAAAGCTAGGTAGTCCATGTTCATTTATTTTTTGGGGATTTCAATGATGATCATTCTAAGTGGGTCTATTTTGTTACTCAGTATTTTGTTTTATGAAATGACAAGTAGTGTCTGTTTTCATTTGTTCTGTCTCGGTTATCAATAGAACATCTTTTGTGGTTGTTTTCCAACATACCTAGAGTTGTGTTTGAAGAGGTGAAAATATTTTTCAGAAATATTTTCCAAATTACTAAGAATGGGATGATGATAAAATTAGAGCAGTGTGAAAAAATAGAAAAGGGATTGATAAAGGAGAGAAGGAGGAAAGCAAAATAATTGAGCAAAAAGCGCTTTGACTAAAGTCATTAAAGTGCTACAATGACTCATATTTTATACTTATATTCCTTTCAATAAATACAGTGATAAGTTTTAAAAAATTTACTACCTTTGATCTAGGCACTGCACTAAATGTTTTATAAGCATTATTTTATTTTATTCTTACAAGTATTCTGGAAGGCAAACAGGGTTATTATTTCTACTTTATAGAAAAACAAGCTAGTTTTGGGACCCTTTTATATATTTGATGGTTGAATTTATTGTAAATCATAGTCCTCTTGAGACATCATTTAGTCAGTTAAGTAAAAAGTTTTGCTAGTTGAGTAGATCCAGTATTAGTTCATTAGGTTGTTAAACTTTACCACTGACTTATTGCTGTCATTTGATTTTGACCCACAGTTTCCTTATTTTATCCAAAGATGTGTTTGTAACTTTGTAATAGTACTTGGAATATGAATTAATAATAAAGCTCACCTGTGGAAAAATTACTAGCTTTAAAATTGTTTCATTTCCTGGATTTTAGAGGATGCACATATTTATATATGCATTATAAATACACATTATACACAATTAAAATTAATGACATTGGCAGGGGTGCTATATAGTGTAAATAGAGGAAGATCAAATACATTTTCTTATTATTCACTCAATTTTTTAACATTTGAATATATATCACCATCTAAATTGAGCTTTATTACTAACGTTAATGCTTTAATAATAATTAAGTTTGTATTTTTTCTATTTTAATGGTAAATTTTTGGAGCCCCAAGAGCATTGTAATTCTGGTTTTATAATTTTAACCACTTAGTTCTTTTTGTTTGTGTGTTAGATGGAAGATTGGTTAGAAGTCTTAAGAGAATGTTTGGATTATTCAAATTGGAAATTATTCCCAAAACAGAGTACAAATATTTTGTGCTCACTTATTGGAATTAAACCAAGAAGAAAGTGAAACCTATGTCAGAGTTGTCCAGAAACTATCCACTGCTATACAACTCTTTATTCGCTGACAGTGCAATTATGTCAGTGATTTCATATTGGGAGGAAAGTAGTTTACTTATATCCATTTTTAAAATGTTTTTGAGGTCTGGCATAAATGCAGTAAACTATAAATTTCTTAAGTGTGCAGGTGTAGCTCAGTCAAATTTTGTGTTTATGTAGCTCTGTAACTAATACCCAGATTAAGATCTAGAACATTTTCAGCATTCCTATTTTAATTTACATTATATTTATTATGAAGCTTGTGGGGTAAATTCACTGTTTTGTGGGTTTACTTTGATAAAAATTACAGTCAGTGTACATTTGAAGAAATTAGAGACATCAAGATATCAGAAGGAATCTTACTTTTAGAACCACATAGAAATCATTAATTGCCATAATTTGCCCACAGACAGTTCCTTGTTACTAATAGTAATACAGACTTTTCGTAGCGTGTGCGAGGAAGTCCAGTTCTTCTGTCATGAGTCCTTCACAGTTTGATTATGTTACACATCCTTGTATTGAAAAGTGTTTTGGTTAACATTTTTTTTCTCAGAAACTGTTTTGAAGGGATCAGATGGATTTATAAATGAAAACTAAGCCTTAAAATTTTTAATTTCAGGGATACTATTTATTATAAATAACAGATTGGCATTATTAAGCTGTTGGTAGTACTGGACTATTATTTCTTACTTTGCATCGGTATTCTCGTTACAGTGAAAGTAACTTTTCTCCCAAGTTTAATGAAAAAGATGGGCATGTTGAGAGAAAGAGCCAGAATGGCCGGTATGAGATTAAAAATGGAAGACCTAGGTAGGTACTGGGAATGGAACTTTTTATAATAGTGGGTCTTTAAAAGGTAGAAAATATAATGAACAATTATCAAGTGCTTGTATGTGCCAGACATTGTACAAAAGAATTTATATATGTGATCTAATTAAATTGTCGCAATAACTCTGTGGGTTGATATTTCTAGTTCCATTTACAGATAAAGAGAGAGAATGTTAAGTGGTGTTGCATATAGTTCATAAGTGGCAGAGGCAGGATCTGAGTGCATCTCTTTGTAACTCAACCTTGAAGGTAGAAATAATTGAATAAGTTAACAGAGAAAGGATTGAAAATTGTATGTTAAGTAGTTATTTATTAAATGTGATAATGCCTTAAAGTAAGAATTATCCAAACATAAGAGTAAAAATAAAAATAACCCAATAATGTAATATCAAAAATCTTTGTATACTTTTAAAATGGATTTTTCTACACAACTCCAAAAATTTCCATTTTCTTTAAGAAGGCATTATAAAAGTTTAGGAGAAATGTAAAAATTAGCACACCCCAAATAAAACAAAGGGAGGTTCACAGTTTTGTAATCATGATTCTCACCTTGCAAAAATGTTGCAATTTGTGTTCTTAGTTTCTCTAGGACAAGGAAATTAATAGTGCTCCTCTTGCTGCAACCTGGTCCTTCAGTTTTGCTAAATTCTTTCTGTGCTCATAACTTATTCACTTTTGTATGTTACTGGATCTTTTTTAAGTCAAACTGTCCTTGTATTTGACTTATTCCTTAGGTTCTTTTCTTGGTAAAATATATTAAAAGAGACATACACATATAAAAGGATAGGCAGCAAAGCCAAGTAGCATGTTGCTTTAGTCCAGACTCTTGGACTAATAGAAACCAACTCTAGTTTGCCTAGAGCAAACAGTGAGATTTATCTTTAGGCCCTATAGGATCATTTCAAGTGGCCCAAAGTAGAATTATTGTCACCTGGCCAGGTGTTTTGTCTTTCTGTCTTTATCTGCATGTCTTGCTGAAATATTTCTAAGTCCAGTACAAAATAAGATAAAAATTCATTTAATTTTAATAACAGACCAGAATAAGAAGAGATGGTTGAAAGAAAAATTTTGGCAAGTTATTTGCTTTTATCTACTAGGAGGACAAAAGATATAATGTTACAGAGGTTAAAATTGTGGATTGGGGCATTTTATTGATGCATAATGATGAAAGTTGAACATTTAAGGAATATTGATTGGAAGAAAAACACTCAGGCATGAGTTAGGTTTATCTACAGACTTTGTAATATTGGGTTGTGGCATTAGGTTAAATGGTAAGTTGGCATTTTTATAAAATAGTTTTCTTTAAAAATTGAATACTTGAAATTTTGAGATGTTTAATACTACTACATTATATGCTACAAAATACATATTACTGGTAATAAAAATTCAGAACACACTGAGGGAAAAATGGACTTCAAAATGTAACAAAAAATATTTTAATGGAAAGGGTTATAGGAGAGTGGAGTAAAAAGAGAGGTGATGAGAAAGTGAAGAGAAATGTGAGCGTCCTGAATAAATTGTCACTGCTGTAGAGATAGATGGTTAGGTGCAGAGCATTTTATCCTCCAAGATTTAAGAGTCCAGTAACGTTTTAGTTTGAATTTAGGAGTACAGGTGACAAATTCTTACATCGTAGAACAGCTTTGGAAATGATCCTGCTCCTGGATCAAGTCCAGAGCTGAAGACATGCACAAAGGAAAGTTCAATAACAATCCATGTAAGGCAATATGTGCTTTCAGTACAGATATGTGATAGTGCTACTGAACTAGGGAGGGATACTATTTTCCTTTTATTGATCTTACTACCTTTTATTGAGTCATATCAAGTTAGGTTAAAAAAGATAAACCCATTCAGTTAATTTTTTTTTTTTCAGAAACCCTGCAGGACGCACAGGATTGGTTGGCCGAGGGCTTTTGGGGCGATGGGGCCCAAATCATGCTGCAGATCCCATCATAACCAGGTAAGAACTAAAAAACATTTCAGTAGCAGAGAGCTAAATGATTGGAAAAATACAGACTATAACTATGTGTTTACATATACAGATATAGGTGTATGCACATATGTATACATGTATTATGTGTCTGTATATACTAGTATACATGTTTATATATGTTTGTATATACACATGTTTATATATGTACACATACAAACATATACATATGTACACACATAAAATCTATATGTTAAAAGGACTTTATGTAAAATTACAGTGATGTGATATAAGTGTGAAGCTGTAGTTTGTTGTATGACTAGGTTAGGCATTATCTAAACAAAGTTAATTCATCAAGATACTTATTGAGCATCTATTTGTTCTCAGAATTGAGTAGGTGCTTTGGAGGATATAAAAAAGTATAACAGTTCTAAATTTCTGCTCCCTGTCATTGAAGAGCTATGGCTTCATTTACAAGATGGAAGATATGAAATAAGAAACGACCCTTTCACAGGGGTCGCCTAAGACCATCGGAAAACACATATATAATTACATATTGTTTTTGTGATTGACCACTATGCTTTAATTATGTTCAATTTGTAACAATGAAAATACATCCTGCATATCAGATATTTACATTGTGATTCATAACAGTAGCAAAATTACAGTTATGAAGTAGCAACGAAAATAATTTTATGGTTGGGGGTCACCACAACATGAGGAACTGTATTAAAGGGTCGCGGCCTTAGGAAGGTTGAGAACCACTGCTTTAGAGAATTAGAAGATTGCATGTGGGCAGGATGATGGTAAACCGGTGTACCTGAGAATGGTGTTATGAAGGAGGTAGATTAGAGCTGAACTTGAGGCCTGGATGGGGGACAGGAGGAGTCCTAAGAAAAAGCCTTGTAGTAATACCTATTTGAGTATTGAGAGACAATGAAAAGACCAGCATGGTTAGATTCATGTAGGAGAATAGTGAATGGTACATTAAACTTAAAATTAACTTTTATGCAATTCTCTTGTGGAGAATATTAAATGCCAAAGTTAAGAAATGTGAACTGGAGACATTGAAGGTTTCATAACAGGGAAAAGGCACTCTCTTTCCGAGGCAGATCTATCTGGTAGGCTAAATCATACACTGAAGGTTCCTTGGTGAGCAGAAATCAGAATAAAAAAGATGAATCTAATGTTTAGATGGACTTAACATAAGTCTCCATAGAAATCATGTTTCTAACACATCTGGAATTTTCTGTCATCTCTGTCATCCTTAAAATTATTTGTTCTTTTTTTTTTTTTTTTTTGAATCTGTATTTGTTCTTATTTTTAGGATTTCTTCACTGACCAACTCCCTTCTCACATGTAGTTGTTACTTTTCCTCTTTAAGTAATGCAAATAATCTCAATATTCTTACTTTTTTAGTTTTGATATTTTAAGGGCCTTTCCTTCTCACAGGAGACTTTGTTTTTCTCTCATCTGAGATATAATAATGATTTCATAATTTAACTTTAGGAAAAGTTTATTTTTCTTATTTTCAGGTTATCGGAAGGGGTACCAATACTCACCCCATCTGATTCTTTTACTTGCCCTTTCTATTCCTCTGCCAAAAGGGATCTTAATCTTAGTCCTTTATATTGCACCTCCGTTTTGTCTTTCATCTATCCATTTATCTATCTTCCATCCATCCATCCATCCACTCAGCCACCCACTCATCTAACTACCTACCTATCTACTTCCTGGATCAAGTCCAGAGCTGATTGAACCCAAAACCTATCAACATGCCTATCTATTCATCTAATTTACTTTAGAAACTACAGTTTAAATGAGATAGGAAGAGTAATATATTCTTATTAATGAATATAAATAAAATAATGTAAGTATTAATGGCAGTATCAGTTTCTTCCTAATTTTGGTGAGGCTTGCTAAAAGCAGGAAGGTGTGAAACATTTAAAGGAGGAATGCTAGTAAGGGGACAAGAAGCAGCAAAAGAAGCCAGAGAATTGAAAGTTAGCCTCTAATTAGCTTATCTTTATCTGTGGTAGACCAAATATGAGCTCTGATTAAACATGGCAATTCTATGTCATGTTTTTTGAAATGTAGACTTTATGAGTATAATTCTGTCATTACACAGATGAGAGAACTGAAGCCTTAGAGATGATGGTCCAGGCTATAAAAGAGCCCACAAGTGGTGGCATCTAGCTCTCAGCTGTACTCCTAGCTTGATGTTCTTTGCTGTGTCAGTAATGCATATATTAAATGATGAGCTCCTCTAAATAGAGGAGTGGTTGTGGGAAGGGAAGGAAGCAAAGAATGAAAGATGTTGAAAAATCAACAAGACTAAACAAATTATTAAAAATATAGCTCTACTGTAGGTATTTTGCTAGGTGTCAGTAGTTTTTCCATTTGTTTCTCACAAAATTCCTCAAAGTAGGTACTAACACATCTGTTTTGTATACCTGTGGCCAGCCTTCAGTGATTGGAGACTCACTGAGGGTAAATGACTTGCCTAAATCTTGTAGATCTGAAATTTGCATCAGTTATTTGGCTGTAAATATTGTGCTTTCTTTCTCTCTTTTTTAAAATCCTCACCCGAGAATGTGGTTGTTTGTTTTTTAATTGATTTTTTGTTTTAGAGAGGGAGGAAAGGAGAGAGAGAGACATCAAGGTGAGAGAGAAACATTGATCTGTTGCCTTCCGTAAGTGCCCCTACCGGTGATTGAACCCACAACCTAGGTATGTGCCCTGATCCAGAATGGAACCTGCAACTACTTTTTGGTGTACAGGACGACATTCTAACGAAGTGAGCTACCTGGCCAGGGCTACATTCACTTTCTTAAACACATTTTATTTATTTTTTTATCCAGTGAAAGATACTGTAAATAAGTAAATTTTTTTTTAAAGCAACAGACTGGGGACTTTGTGTGTTGAACACATCATTTTATTTTACAACTTTGCTTCTTCCTTGTGATTTGTCTGTCTGGCATCCTTAAAAACAGATGTTGTGACCTGGTGGTGTGGCTCAGTGGTTGAGTGTCAAGCTATGAACCTGGAGGTCATGGTTTGATTTCTGGTCAGGGCACATGCCTGGGTTGTGGGCTCGATCCCCAATGGGAGGTGTGCAGGAGGCAGCTGATCAGTGATTCTCATCATTGTTGTTTCTATCTATCTTTCCCTCTCCCTTCCCCTCTGAAATCAATAAAAATGTATTTTAAAAAATATTCTAACCTGTAGAGAATTTAAAAAACAAAAACAGATTTTGTCTTCTTGTATCAATTATCCTTTCATTTCTAGTTACTATACTTATCAAACTGTCACTGTGGCTTATAGTTTATTTACTTACATGTATAGCTCCATTGCTAGACTATCACTTCTTCCAGGGGAGGAAGTATAGGTTAGATATAGTTAGCCACTATATGAAGAAATTTGGAAACTTATATCTAAACTAGTTTATTTCATTGAGTCTTCTGCAGAGCAATGATCAGTGCATAGGTTTCTTTTTAGTTTAGTATTAGAAGTTCAAAATCTTTCTCTTTGCCTAAGGGAGTTATTAGAACAATTTTTGAAATTGGGTGGAGGGAGGTAAATGTGGTGGGGGTAGGTCAGGGGAAGGGGGGAGATTTATCAATATCTCTGGGGAAGAGACTGTGGTTAGAAAAAGTGCATTCTGAAATTAACATAGCCTTGATACTATTTAAAAACACCATATACAATTCAAAACTTAAAATGAAACTAAGGATAGAGTGAGATATTTTTTAAATAAAAAAGGACAATAAAGATTGAGAAGCACTACTTTTGAGAACAGCTAAATCTGTATCATATAATCTGCTTTTCTGATAACTGTAAAAAGCAAATATTACCAGATCTTTTATACTACTTGTAATTCTTAAAAAGTGTTCGTGGACTTAAAAAAAAAACAAACCAAAAAACTTCTGTGACCCTTCCTGTAAATTCTGTCCTGGTTTTAAACTTATTTTTTTGGTTGTATTTTAGTACTGTAAAAACTGTTTATATTTTGAATTTTCATTATGAAAGTAGACATATTTCTAAAACAAAATATTTTTTTTGGTAAAAAAAAAGCTGATTTTGAGGTAAATTTATGTGTACTCTGTTATAAAGAGAAATACATCTTTATAACTTCGACTCAAGCTTGAGCTAGAACCTTGGCTTTTGTTCTAAATTGGTTATGATCGTACATTACTATTTACAGGTGGAAAAGGGATAAAAGTGGAAATAAAATCACCCACCCCATTTCTGGGAAAAACATCTTACAGTTTGTTGCAATCAAAAGGAAAGACTGTGGAGAATGGGCAATTCCAGGGGTGAGCATTAAAATTAAATTAAATTAATGTTTCAAATTCTGTTTAGTTTTATTTGCTTTATTTACCACAAGATCATTGTGTATGGACCTTTTCTACTCCACCTATCCTCCATTCCTCACCACTTCAATTAGTAATTATTTTGTCATTCATCACTGCAATGAAGTGTCATTGTCAGTAACAACTGTATGATAATACATACAACAAGGCTGTTAGAATCTAAGTCTGCATCTGAACCCCTTGGGAAAGAAAATGGACTTCGGTGTTAGACCTAGGCTCGTATCCTGGTCTTTCCACTTTGAGATGCGTGATATGGAGTTCTGACCTCATCTACACTAATAAAAGACAAAGATGCTAATTGATCATACCTTTGCTATGCCCAAGCCATGCCCACCAGCCAATCAGAGCAACTATATGCAAATTAACCCAACCAAGATGGCGGCCAGCAGCCACGGAGTTGGAGCAAGCAGGAGGCTTGGTTGCCCCGGCGATGGAGGAAGCCAAGCTTCCTGGCCAGCTGTGGCCTCCACAAAAGGCAACAAAGTTTCAATTATAGAAGCTAAATAAATCCCAGATACCTGCTTCCAGCCAGCATCCACTGGGAGCTTGGGTGGCTGGGGACTGTGGCCTGCCTGCAAACAGCCATCAGCCCCTCACCCAGGATGGCCACAACCTCATGGGGTGAGGGTCCCTGCTGGGGGGCTTGGCCAGCCTGCAAACAGCCATCAGCCCCTCACCCAGGGTGGCCACAACCTCATGGGGTGAGGGTCCCTGCTGGGGGGCTTGGCCAGCCTGCAAACAGCCATCAGCCCCTCACCCAGGCTGCCCAGGCACCCCAGCAGGACCCCCCTCCCTGAAGGGGCTGTGGATAGCCTGAAAACGGCCCTCAGCCCCTCACCCAGGCTGGACAGGCACCCCTAGCGGGACCCCCACCCCTGATCCGGGACACCCTTCAGGCCAACCAGCCGACCCCCACCCATGCACCAGGCCTCTATCCTATATAATAAAAGGGTAATATGCAAATTGACCCTAACAGCAGAGTGACTAGAAATCACTGGTCACTATGACACAAACTGATCACCAGGGGGCAGACGCTCAATGCAGGAGCTGCCCCCTGGTGGTCAGTGTGCTCCCACAGGGGGAGCTCTGCTCAGCCACAAGGCAGGCTGATGGCTGCCAGTACAGCGGTGGTGGTGGGAGCCTCTCCCGCCTCCTCAGCAGTGCTAAGGATGTCCCACTGCAGCTTAGGCCTGCTCCCTGCTGGCAAGTGGACATCCCCCAAGGGCTCCTGGGCTGCCAGAGGGATGTCTGACTGCCAGCTTAGGCCAAATTCCCTGGGAAGCGGGCCTAAGCCAGCAGGTGGTCTTCCCCGAGGGGTCCCAGACTGCGAGAGGGCACAGGCCGGGCTGAGGGACCCTCCCGAGTGCACAAATTTTTGTGCACCGGGCCTCTAGTCTTTATAATAAAGATCATCTTATCTACTTCATAGGATTACTAGAAATAGCATGCAGAGCAGTGGTTATACAGTAGGTACTCACTAATTTGGGTCCCATCTCAGAAATCAAACCCTACTCCAAGCCCAAGGTAAGATTTTTAGCATTTTTTGTTGTTGAATTATGATAACTTTAGACATAGTAAACTATATAACTTTTGTTACTTAATAATTCTTACAGTTTTAAAAATTTTCGTATCAGCAGGAAGATGTACTTTGACTTCACATCAGTGGTATAGATGTAAAAAAGGAATATATATATTTCTTTTTTTATATATTTTTATTGATTTTAGAGAGGAAGGGAGAGGGAGAGAGAGATAGAAACATCAAAGATGAGAGAGAATCACACCCCACACTGGGGATTGAGCCTGCAACCCAGGCATGTGCCCTGACCGGGAATTGAACCATGACATCCTGGTTCATAGGTTGACATTCAACCACTGAGCCACCCCGGCAGGGCCCAGTAGCATATTTTAAGTGGCTTTTAAAAAAATGTTTATATGTATGGCAGAGAGTTTTATATTTAATGCCCTAATGTTAAATGGAGATAGTTTTACAAGAGGATGACTTTTTATACACATACCACTATTTGCAAGAATTGTTTTTTCTTTGTAAGATAAAAATGGAATGGAAATAAATATCAGCTGACTGTGATGAAAGCCTAGGCTAATTATTTTAAGCCGAGTAGTAAAACTTTGCTCATACTGAGTACAAAACGCAATAATGATTTCATCATAGGATTTTATATTTTTATTCTCATTTGAAATTCCAATTAGTCAGGCAATTGTTGTCACTGATATCATTTTGAGAGTCAGTCATCTAATCAGTATATTTTGTCATCTAACAATGCAGACATTGAGGATGCAACAGAGCAACATGAACAAACGTCCCTGTCCTCTTGGTGCTCACACTCTAGTGGGGGAGACAGATAACATAAGATAAATAACTAATTATATCTTAGAAGGTGATACATTTTAAGGAAGGACACTAGGACGTGTTGGAGATTTTGCCATTTTAGACAGAGAGATTAGAGAAGGTCTCCCTGAGAAGACCTTTAGTAAAGATCTGAACAGGTGAATGCATAAATTATGTGGATATCTGAGGAAAAGCATCTTGGACAGAAGTAACATAACAGGTGCAAAGTCCCTAAGATGAGAGTATGTCTGGCATGTCTTAAGAACATTGAGGAGGTCAGTGTGGCTGGAATGGAATGAACGATGGGGAAAGTATCAACTTTCTGTATTCTTTCTTGCCCCCAGGCCTTCCTTCCTTAGCTGGAAAGGAGTCTGATTCGCTCAGTTTACCATAGGCTAACCTTGGACCAATTACTGTGGTCAAATATATTTGAGATACCCTGACTGCTTCTACTAGAAACACATGGTTTAGGGAAGAATATATGACAGAAGGATAGGGATCATGTTTATGGGCAGATAGACCAGTAAAGATCCATGCATTACTCAGTAAATATTTGTTGGATAAATTAAAGCTTATTACTTTTCTTTCTTTTTTTTCTTTTTTAAATGTGCTCTTAGGGAATGGTGGACCCAGGAGAGAAGATTAGTGCTACACTGAAGAGAGAATTTGGTGAGGAAGCTCTCAACTCCTTACAGAAATCCAGTGCTGAAAAAAAACAATTAGAGGAACAGTTGCACAAACTCTTCAGTCAGGAACACCTAGTGGTAAGAAATGGTGGTTCCCAGGAAGGAGTTAGTCCTATGCATTAGTGAGACTTTCTTAAAGTTCACCTGGAAATCTGGTAGATCATTCTCTGAATAAAGTGAAATATTGTATGTTTGCAATACCTGTTCATAAAACAACTTATTTTTATAGCCCAACTTTAGTTCGATTACATCATCTCTATATATAAAAGGCTAATATGCAGAGTGCCCCCCGCAGGAGTTCAACCGGGATACCGGGAGTTCGATTGCTCGCTATGACGTGCGCTGATCACCAGGGGGCGACGCAGAATGAAGGAAGGCCCCAGCCGGCAGCCAGGGAAGAAAGGGCCCGGCCGGTGGCAGAAGGCCCCTATCGGCCCTGATCACCGGCTAGGCCTAGGGACCCTACCCATGCACGAATTTTGTGCACTGGGCCTCTAGTTTATTATAATACATTTTTTTCTCTTAGTTTTTGGTTCAGACTAGGTGTGAGCTAATGTAATACTGAGCTCATCCAACAGAAAACACTTATTTATTTATTTTTTGCATGAATTCAGCTCTTTTGAAAGGACATTTACATTTGAAATTATGTTATTCAGGGTTTCTCTGGTTTATAACCATTTAAGTCTCATGTCTGTTTTGTCTACATATCCTTTGTAAAAATTTAAAAATCACCTTATAAGGTATATGTACACTAATAATAAGGAAAAGGACCGATTTTCTTTTTTTTGTTGGCTTTTTTTATTGCTTTGTTTTCTTTTTAGAATTAGGATTTCTTAATTATTTATCTGTATCATCCAGTTCACATTTGTGTTAGGTAGCTAGATCCAAATCTTTTCATGTATTAATAGTTTAAATATTAGTCTTTACTAACTTTACTTATATATTTCATTTAACAGATACTTAAATTATAAAGACTTTTAAAAAAAAACCATACGGCCCAGATATTATTGTTACTAAATTCTGAAATTAGAATCTGAGGTGTTGAGTGTTTTGTGAATTTTAAAGCTGCCTCAAAGGTTCTTGAGAATATTGTTCTTTGGGAAATTTAAAATAAGCATAAGGAATGCTATATTAAAGGTGTTATGGTATTTATATATTTTTTTATTGTGGTAAAAAACATATAATTTACCATCTTAACTACTTTAAGTGAATAGTTATCTATACTAATAAAAGCCTAGGTGGTCCTCGTGCCCTCGTGTGATGCCTTCACGTCATCAAAAGATGGCTGCCCTCATGTCATCACAAGATGGCCACAAGATTGCCGTCACAAGATGGCCGACAGGGAAAGGCAGTTGTGGGCAATCAGGCCAGCAGGGGAGGGCAGTTGGGGGCAATCGGGATGGTAGGGGAGGGTAGTTGGGGGCGAGATCAGGTCGGCAGGGAGGACAGTTGGGGGCGACCAGGCCGGCAGGGGAGGGCAGTTGGAGGCGATCGGGCCGTCAGGGGAGCAGTTAGATGTCAATCAGGCCTTCAGGGGAGCACTTAGGGGTGATCAGGCTGGCAGGCAGGTGAGTGGTTAGGAGCCAGCAGTCCTGGATTCTGAGAGGGATGTTCCCCAAGGGATCCCAGATTGGAGAGCGTGCAGGCCAGGCTGAGGGACACTCCCTCCCATGCACGAATTTTGTGCACTGCGCCTCTAGTGTTAATTATATGCATATTTCTTTGGAACAAGATATTTACATTGCTGATTTTAATGACAGTTAACACGCTTTTGCTCTACGAATTCCTGTTTCACCCTACACCTTTTTCTGTCTGCCTCCTCTTAAAAATAGATATATAAGGGATATGTTGACGATCCTCGGAACACTGATAATGCATGGATGGAGACAGAAGCTGTGAACTACCATGATGAAACAGGTAATTTTACCTATGTTTATTAAACTGACTGAGTTAGAGGATCAGTCTAAGTCTAGCAGCCTTCTAGGGCATAATTAAATCTGGACTATTTTAATAACTTAAACCAGTCAACTACTAAGTATGGGATTATATTTAAAATTGTTGATATTAAAAGAATACATAGAAAAAAGCCTTGCCCCAGCTGTTTTGGCTCAGTAGATAGAGCATCAGCCTGTGAACTGAAGGGTCCCAGGTTTGATTCCGGTCAAGGGCACATACCTTGGTTACAGGCTCTAGCCCCAGCCCTGGTGTGGGAGGCAACCAATCAATCTGTCTTTCTCACATCGATGTTTCACCCTCTTTGTCTCTCCCCCTCCTTTCCACTTTCTCTACAAAAGATAAGTCAATAGAAAAATTTCCTCAGGTGAGGATTAGCAACAACAACAAAAAAGAAAGCCTTAAAAGTATTTTCTTTAATCCATTGGTAGTATATAAAATTAAGATTGAAATTATGGACTAAAATTATGTGCCTTAAAGTTATTAAATTATATAGTGTGAGTCCATTTGTATAAAATAAAAAACAAAAGCAACTGGAGATTTGGGTAGGAAGTATGGCTAGGATAAAATAAATGTGATTTATATCTGTCTTACTGTTTGAAATAATTTTATAACAAGCGTGTTTCAACATAAACATAATTCAAACCTGTGGAGAATTTTTGTGAGTTTATCTGAGCCAAACTGACAATTGGCAGGAAGCAAAGTCTTGGTGGATTGAAAAAAATGCTCTGGAAAAATGGCAGTTTTGCACTGTTTCATACATTACTATCAAAAGAGGAGTTGTAAGTGGGTTACATGAAATTTGTTGGTTATAGATTAGGGATTGGGAGGAAGCAAAGTGGAGGAAACCTCCAGGTGAGAGCACTTATTTTTAATTTATTAATGTAATTGATAAGTATTTTCTTTTATGGTTTTTTATTTGGTGTCATACTTAGAAAATTTACCAGTAATTTTTTTTTTTTTTACATTTAAGTCCCTAATTGCTTTGGAATTTATTTTGATACAAGGTTTCATGCTTATTTAATATGAATTTTATGATAATATTCTTACTTTCTAAAGAGAAAAGCTTTCTTACTGATACCTCCACTTAAAATTTAGAAACGGTTAAAATTTGGGCATTTGGAAAATTTGGAATATCCTAGTTTTTAATTCACTTGGCCACCTAAGACGATGATTGTTTACTTATTTTTAGTAAGAATACTTGAAGATACAGTTATGCTGAAAAAGAAATGAATAAATGAATTACTTTTTCTTGGTGATGTTTTTTCTTTGGTAACCAGGTGAAATAATGGATAACCTCACCCTCGAAGCTGGAGATGATGCTGGAAAAGTGAAGTGGGTGGACATCAGTGATAAACTCAAGCTTTATGCTAGTCACGCTCAATTCATCAAACTTGTGGCAGAGAAACGAGATGCACACTGGAGTGAGGACTCTGAAACTGACTGCCACGGGTTGTAGCTCACAGCCTCATGTAAGCCAAAGGCCAACAGAGGAGCATGTACTGCAAAGAAGGCAATATCACAGAACTCAGACGAGCAAGCAGGGTTGGTAACTTGGAAATTATTTTATTCACTTTTAAAACGATTTTTTTTCATGTAGAAGATTTTACATCAGAATAAAATTAGTAAATATGGTGAAATATAACATGGTATTTTCTGCTTTCCAGTCAAAAGAAATATAAACAGTCATATTTTATATATATTCGATTTAAGCATGCTTTTAACCAAATTTAAACAGCTTCGATGCTGTGAAGAATTGTAATCTGAATAAAGATAAATTTCTGATGAGCCCTGACTTCTGCTTTCCATCTGGTTCTTGTTTGTCAGTTTTTTTTTTCTGTTCCCCTTGCTCTTCTGTGGTCTAAAGGGGTGTTCCTGCCACATCAAATTCCTTTAGGAGGAGCACCACCATCATGCAATCTGAATTATCTTTTAATTATTGGCTTTACATCTTGCTTTACATGTACTTGTTGAAGCTGATTTAAAAAATGGAAACTTTATTTTTGTCTTTAGAGCCGTCAGTTTTATGAGGAAATTTCAGCCCTCTTTTAATTAATAAAGATCAATAAATAAGAGTTGATGTTCTCATTTCAAAAATTCTGAAGTAAAAATATGTCCAGCTTGGCCAGTGTGTCTCAGTGAGCATCAACTTATGAACCAGAAGGTCAGGATTCGATTTCCCGGTCAGGGCACATGCCTGCATTGCAGGCTTGATCCCCGTAGCAGGCTCAATCCCCAGTATGGGGCAAACAGGAGGCAGCCAATCAATGGTTCTCTCTCATCCTTGATGTTTCTATATCCCTCTCCCTTCCTCTCTGAAATCAATAAAAATATATTTAAAAAAATATGTCCAGGACATTAGTAATTTGAATTAATATGTATATTTATTTTACTCCACTGTAAGTACATGTTATAAATGAATTAAAATAGATGTTAAAAAAGGAACTGAAGTCAGACAGACAGAGGGAAGTCTTTGGGGTCAGTGCTTTTGTTAGGTTAGGCATATTAAGGATTGAAATAGGCTTTTGAGGGACTCACTGTTAATATAATTCCCAGAGAAAAGGAAAAGAGATGGTGTTTAGGATGCTCTTGGGAGCAGGGAGGAGGAAAGAAAACAACACTGCCTTGTCCCATGATAGCAACTCCTGCCAACCTGCAGTGGGGTCTGTCTCAATTCCATCTTCATTCCAGTTGGACTACAGATGGGCATTTGACGAAAAGGAGGTTTGGGGGTAGAGACATGGTTGTTGTCTTTTCTTTAGGCCAGCAGCGGGAAACCTTTTTTCTGCCAAAGTCCATTTGGATATTTATAACATCATTTGTTTAATCTAATTCACTTAATATAAATTTATGTTGCTATGGAAAAAGCTCCTAGATTTATTGAATTTCAAGTCCTGCCTGCAGTTGCCTTGGCAGGGCCAGACCAAATGATTTTTGCAGGCCTTATGTGGCCCATGGGCCTTATTCCCCCCCCCCGCCCCATCCCTGCACGCCCTCCTGCTGCTTAAGATATTTGAAAACAGTATTAGGCTTACTCTGTAGCTAGAGGTCAGAACTAGGGCTCAGGTAAATCACACAGTTTGGGATTCTCCCCGCCCCCGCCTCCCTGATTTAGTGTAAAAACTCCTTTGGTGGTAAAACTGGACTGATCTGACTGGCAGGAAGCTTTTTCTCCTTGAGTGTGACTGTCAGTTTTGCTGATAAACATTAGAATGTTTGGTTTCCAGATGCTTGCCTTGAACCCCCCTGGAAGAGTTACAAGGTTTATGTACAGTACTAATTTTCTAAAATCTGTAAAATTTGGGGGTCAGTACTTTTGTTAGGTTAGGCATATTAAGGCTTGAAATAGGCTTTTGAGGGACTCACTGTTAATATCATTCCCAGAGAAAAGGAAAAGAGATGGTGTTTGGGATGCTCTTGTGCCTGAAAAGGATGACATTCTCATTGATGAGGGATAGGATGACCTGCTCCCAGCATGAAAGAGTCTGATGTACTTTTACTGTTTGGCAGGGAGGAATTGCTTCTTTCTGGCACCATATAGAATTCTCTAAAATTGAAATGGCTTACAAAAGCTTTTGAGAAGGTTTGAGCAATTTTCTCAAGAATGGCATTTACTTATGTTTAATAGTGTTTTTTTGTTGTTTTTAAAGATTTTTTATTGATTTTTTTTTTTTTTTAGAGAAGAGAGGAAGGTAGAGAGAAATATTGATGTGAGAGCAAAACATCAATCAGCAGCCTCCTGCATGCCCCCCACTGGGGATAGAGCCTGCAACCCGCCCTGAGCCCTGACCGGGAATCGAACTGGCAACTTTTTAGTGCACAGGATGTCACCCAACCAACTGAGCCATACCAGCCAGGCTGTTAAACAGTTTTGATACATTTAAACCGACATTAGTAAAGATACTAGGTTATATTAATACTTTATTTAAAGAATTACTAAAGCACATGGTCTACAGATAAATTTTTTGTGGCACTTCGGAGTTTTCACTGGAAATTTGCAAAGTTTGCGAAAAGATAAAACTGCTACTATAAATTATACATTGGATCTAAGTAGATAATCTTCTGATAACTGAGTATCCAGCACCATCTATAGTAGAGAAAGACGGGATTAAAATTTTAGTTTAAGACATTTCTGAAGGAGTATCTACTACTATATCACTAGGCAATATTGGTTGTGTATTTTTCTTTTTTAAATTTTAGATATAAGGAATATTTTTGTTTTTTAGAGACATTTAAATACTTAGTAATAATAGATGCCATTGATTGAATCTACACTATATCACTTAATCCTCACAGCAGTACTGTGAAGTTAGGTAGTATTATTCCCATTTCACAGATGAAAATGGTATTTAAAAAGAGTGCCCCAGGTTTATTCACTAAGGGATAGAACTAGGTTTGAATCCTGGTCTGCCTGGTTCAAAACTTACTTTCTGTCTACCATATTCCCAACTAAGGTTAGGAAGCTTTTATGATTTGTTTAAGTATACAGTTTGGACTTAATCTATTACTTAGCAGTAATGTTACCCATATGTAATACAGTTATGGTTTGTGACTTAAAATTAAAGGCCATATCTGATTTGACTAGCATTGTTGAAATGGTTTGCATAATTTGGCCCAAAGGCAATTTATTTAATAATATCTTAATCTAAGGATTATTAGTGTTTGTCTTGCCAGCAGGTATTTTTGAGATTAGAAAGCATTTTAAACTCAAATGGAAGCATATGCTAAACTTACATAAGAGCATAACTATCTAAAAATCTAAATATTTGGTAGCTAAAGGGGCACTTGAAAATTCGAACCATGTTTAGAGGCTAAATGCTACTTTGTCTTACAGTATAAGGACTTAAGTGATTGGTATCTGTGAAGTTTAACAAACTGATTTTAAAATATATACTTTGAAGAAATCATTAGTATTAATTTGATTTTGTTTACATCTACTTCTATTATACTAGAGGCCCGGTGCACGAAATTTATGCAAGGAGGGAGGTTCCCTCAGCCCAGCCTGCACCCTCTCCAATTGGGGACCCCTTGGGGGATGTCCGACTGCCGGTTTAGGCCCGATCCCTGTGGCCCGATCCCTAAACCGGCAGTCGGACATCCCTCTTGCAATCTAGGACCACTGGCTCCAAACCGCTCACCTGCCTGCCTGCCTGATTGCCCCTAAACCCTCTGCCTGCCTGCCTGATCACCCCTAACTGCTCCCCTGCTGGCCTGATTGCTCCCAACTGCTCTCCCCTGCCAGCCTGATCACCCCTAACTGCTCTCCCATGCTGACCTGATTGCCCCTAACTGATCTCCCTGCCAGCCTAGTTGCCCCTAACTGCCCTCCCTGCTGGCCTGGTTGCCCCCAACAGCCCTCCCCTGCCAGTCTGATCTTGCCCCCAATGGCCCTCCCCTGCTGACCCAATCGCCCCTAACTGCCCTCCCCTGCTGGCCTGATGGCCCCTAACTACCTCTGCCTCGGCTCCCACCACCATGGCTTTGTCCGGAAGGAAGTTGGACATCTGGAAGATGGCCAGTCGACCTGGTCTAATTAGCATATTACCCTTTTATTAATATAGATTGTATAGGATAGGATTGCAAAAATGCGGGGGTGGGGGGCTGTTTTCATCAGGAGGAGATACTCTTGGCAGACAAAAATACATAACCCCTATATCTGGACTGATAGCCAGCCATATGCACTATACTGCCAAACCGGTCATTAAAAAATTGAACCGCTTTCTTACACCTTACACCAAACAGCTGTTGCCCTTAAAACCCCTCCTCAGCCCCCACTTAGGTTCTTCTTTCACAGTTCACCCAGATTAGGTCTGATGTCCGTTTCTATGCCAGTCAGCGTCAAAAGGTCCGCCTCCTAGGCAAGCCATTGGCTCTTCTGGGAATCCAGAGTGCCCTGCTGACAGCTGTCTCTCTCTCATGGCCTCTCTCTGGGCCT